TTTCGTTGGCAAATAATTGAGAAAAATACTGACAAAGTTTTCAAAGGACGAAAAAAAGGAATCATAAAATTAACATCAACTAAGAGGATTATTATCATCCCCTTCCATCATTAATAGTATATACAAATGGATATTCAAGTAATTTTCATTCATTATCACTTGATCATGGACGCTGCCTACTTGATGCCAAAACTTACATTATAGTATATCAACCTCCTTCTCACCAATACCAACCCTTATGGAAATCCCATAATATCCTAACAATTCCGATATACTTCAAATCTCAGTAACTAAACACTCAAGTAAAACAATCAGAGAAATTTACCTGTAAATTCACATAAGTTCTTGCACCTCACATCCTCCTCCCCTGAGAGCTCCCCGAGTCCCTGTAAATACCGTCTTCCACTGTAATGATGGATTACTATACCTCCTAGAGAGGAATATATAGTGCACAATATTAATTGGGTTTAATATCAATTTCCTAAATCAGACAACTGTATTGATTGCATTATGAGCTCATAATCGATAAAATTAGCATCTAAAATTGTTAAAAATAGCTAGTAAGAAATTTAATTTAGTCTATCCTCGTAGGCAAAAAAAATATTTTCTCGCAATAAAGAAAACGGAAGGTCTAGGTCAATCTTCACGATATCGATATTTTCTAAGAAAAATGCATAGGGAGTAGGGGATATTCGAGAGAGGAGGGAATGAATTCCACAGAATAAGAAAGAGAGAAGGAAAGGGAGAGGGAGAGGTAAATGTAGAGGTAGAGGCAGAGGTAGAGGTAGAGGAGAGGAGAGGGAGAGGGAGGAGAGGAGAGGAGAGGGAGAGGGAGAGGGAGAGAGGGAGAGGGAGAGGAGAGGGAGAGGGAGAGGAGAGAGAGAGAGAGAGGAGAGAGAGAGAGAGAGAGAGAGAGAGAGAGAGAGAGAGAGAGAGAGAGAGAGAGAGAGAGAGAGAGAGAGAGAGAGAGGAGAGAGAGAGAGACAGAAAGAGAAAGAAAGAGAGAGAGGAGAAAGAAAGAGACAGAGAAGAGAGACAGAGAGAGAGAGAGAGAGAGAGAGAGAGAGAGAGAGAGAAGAGAGAGAGGAGAGAGAGAGAGAGAGAGAGAGAGAGAGAGAGAGAGAGAGAGAGAGAGAGAGAGAGAGAGAGAGAGAGAGAGAGAGAGAGAGAGAGAAGAGAGAGAAGAGACGAGAGAGAGAGAGAGGAGAGAGAGAGAGAGAGAGAGAGAGAGAGAGAGAGAGAGAGAGAGAGAGAGAGAGAGGGAGAGAGAGAGAGAGAGAGACAGAGAAGAGAGAAAGAAAGAGAGAGAGAGAGAGGGAGAAAGCATATCTAAGCCTGTGTTCCATATCTAAAAATCACCTTTATCTATCTTCACTCTTCCTGAGAGAGAGAGAGAGACAAAGAAGCATAGAGAGAATGACAAACAGAGATATAAACAGACAAAGACATAGGGAAAGAGAGAAGCGGGTGGTGGGGGAGGCAGCACTGAATTACAGGAAATTATGTGCACTGAATTTCAGCCCACATATCATTAACAATCTTAATCTAATTCTGTACCAATTTTGGCATAAATTTTGCACTGGCTTCTGTACATCGTGTTGAGGGAGATCACGCCTTGCATGATCACTAATCCCGCTAGGCGGTCGCCGCTGTTCAATGGATCCGCCATAGGTATGCAAAAAATACGAGGAAAAATATTTTATCTGTTTCAAAATACTGTGTTCACTATTTCTACGTTCTTCATTTATACAGGTCTACAGGTTACTGTAAACAGGGAAAAAGTGTGATGATACTAGAATAAGATGGTGTGTGTGTGTTTGTTCGTGACCAACCCGAACAAAGATACTGAGTTCACCAATATCCCAGTTGTATTGATAATATATTGTTATTATGATACAAATTCATGTTATAACATATCATAATCGTAGGTTGTGCAGTGAGAGAAGCGGAGAAATAATTAGACAGAAGTTTTGATAGCGATTATGGGCGTTCTTAGTTCGGGTTTAAGGGCGAAAATCCTATATTGCTGAAGGAACAAACCTATCACCGCGATGTCCTCGGTCAGCAGAGGCACTTCATATTGTCTCATTAGTTCTTGCAAATCTCGTGGGAACACGCCGGCAATGCGATAAAAAACCGTAACCGGTATTTTGGCATACGCCTAGTTGAATTCGAAGATTTATCCTAGATATCGATTTGAATTGTTGCTCATGGGAAAATCCATCAATTAGGTACAAACAATAGTTTACGCACGAGGAAGAAATGTGATCAGGTGCGTCATTTAAGCATTTTCCTAATGACGGAGAGCAAGGTTGGCGAGCGAAGTGAGGAGATTCAGTTTTTGGGCGCTGTGAGCCCTTCCTACACACACACACACACGCATATATATATATATATATATATATATATTATATATATATATATATATATGTGTGTGTGTGTGTGTGTGTGTGTGTGTGTGTGTGTGTGTGTGTGTGTGTGTGTGTGTGTGTATGTATGTATGTATGTTTTTTGTTGTTGAAAATGAGGTATAAAATGTTCATAAGGGAGAAACTTCATGGGTCTAGCTATTTCCCCCTTGAGGGGAAAGGGCTAGTTAGACCATGTGGGGGGTAATCAGCCCCCCAAATGACGCCCATGTGTGTGAAGTATAGCAATGCACGACAATTGGGAAAATTCAAGAGACAGTTTCATAAGAGGAAACCTCGCGGAAAATAATTCAAACATCAGCGTAAGCAATATGTTAAAAGTAAATATGTAATCATTAGAATGTTTCTTTCAACCATTAAAAACTGTTATAGTTAGACAAAAAATATGAATACACTTTACATAAAGGAGGGCGGGGGGTTAACATATATGAAAAGAAACATCAAATATACAACACGAAGACTAATGAAATTATTGTGAACAAAATAAGTCTGAAATATTACTGAGATATAAATGGATATATCTGAATGTGTGATATACATTGAGGAGTTCTGAATTTAATTATGTGTATGTCAATTTCCATCACAACTGAAGATTTTATTCCCCTAGAAAGCAGATTGTGGCTGGAAAATAATAGAAAGGAAGCCTATAAAATAAGTGTGATATCATATAAATAGATATAGTTATATGGATAGACATAGATTTTTTTGTGTAGGTATATTTTATTTTATATACTGAATCAAACAGCATTAGCGATGAATAAATGGAAAAGTAAAAACAAAGATGAGCAGGTTAACCGGACGCCGTCCCAGTGCGTGGGGAGGGGGGGGCGGAAAACCTATTAGTTTATCTCCCTCCATCTCTTATAATATGTGGTTTTATGAATGATCACTTTAGTCATATGATCAGTTTTATCTTGCTATTTAGTAGACCTACTGTATCTCAGATGAACGACAAAGTATAAATTATAAACAAATTATGTAAGGTAATTTTTTATTCATCTTAAAAAAATATTTTACATATTTAATCATGTTACTTTATTTTAAACCGGTCTAGTCATAAAAATTAGATCACATACTAAAACCTGGAATATGTTACATGTAATGAAATATATAAAAAGTACTTTTAAATAGCATAGCATTAATATACTGAGAACGGAAATGCTAATGCTAAAGATGAAGAAAATGGTTGAAATTACTTTTTAATATTAACTGCATCGTGCAAATGCTGGAAAACTTTATTGCAAAAGTTCTCTGCCATCTCTTCATTGATGTTTTCAGTGCTGTAAGCTAACACATTGATAAGCCTGCCACGGAAGGAATGTAGAAAATGAGCCCAGAGGTTGGGCACTGGGTGAATGGCTGTGCACCTGAGGACGTGGACCGCCTGGACATGAGCCCCGCCTTCCGTTACAAGCGCCGTCACATCCCCCATGTTTGTCACACAAAAGTCAAACTGGGACTGTTTAGAAAGAGCACCAGAGTCCGGGTTTTCGGATCGGCATATTTGTTTCATTGCTTCAATATGTACGGCCTTGTCCGTTTCCAAAGTCCTTTGAAACTCGCGATGTAACACTCTAGCGTAATCCCAGAATTTCGCGCCAACAGAGCGTGGTGTATCCACAGCCACGGGATTCGTTGGCAGGGCGTGACACCCCAGGTATTCGGAAGTGTCACCTCCCCAATACCTGCGGGCATTAACCACATGATTACTGCTAATTCTATAAGTGTCTTGGTCGATACCTCCTTCCACCAGGATATCGACCATGGCAACGCTACTGAGGGCAGTGAAGGCTGAATTAACAGTAACACCTTCTTCGCGACACCGCTTGAAGAAGGTGGAGCTGGCGTCAGTGTCCAGGTTCCGTAGCACCATGCGAGTCTTGGGTTTTTTCTCTCCTGCACCTTCAGGAATCAAGCTTGCGAGGAGGCAAGTTTTCTGGCTGGCCTGAAACTCCTCCATCATCTTTTCTTTATATTTACTATCGGCCTTTACAGCTCGAAATTGTTCATCAACCATCTGCTGTGTTTTTTCTCCGGATACACAGATGCCTAGTTGCTCTTCGTCGTTGAAGGGGTTACATGCAATAACATCCTCGAGGAGTTGGATGAGAAATCCACAGATCTTCATGTTGGAATACCCGTCAGTTATGCCGTGGTAGAGGCCCAGGAAGACCGTATTCATGTAAGGAAAGCCAGCCATATTCGGCACACCCTCCATGGAAGGCGAGTCTGGTTTGAGTTTAGCAAACCACAGAGGACCAGTTTTGATATCGTACTGGTACGTAAGGCATTTCTGGTGTGCGTCTTCTACTGTTACATCTGGGATCATCTGGAAAGAAACCACACAATTGCTGATATATGCAAAAAATAAACACTCATTACAGTGGACAACCAATCCCTAGTTACACTGAGAAAAGGAAGGGTAATTCAGTCCATATAATTGATTCACAACATGATGAATTCTAATATATATTTAGGAAATCTAAGTACTTCTTTTTTTCTAAAGCCAACAGAAGGTTATCTTGCAACCTGGGTACATACTTACTAAATTTACCACATACACAGATTAGATTCCAAACTCAAAACAAAATAACCATATAGGCCTACTACAAATCTTACACAGTTTCGTGTGTGTAAAAACTAGGAAGCCATAACCCTTATAACTTTGATTTACATTTACCAGATTAAAGGTAGAACATACTGATGAGTTACATAAAGGATGAAATTATTCAGTGAAAAATTTGTGTTCAAAACGCGCAAGAATGATCAGGCATACCTCAAAGTCAATGATTTCTTGAGGCATCTCCTTGAGCCACCATTCACCCTCTCGTTGAGCATAGCACAGCCGCAACAAAGGCACTTTTCTGAAGAAGTTACTCATGTTAAAAGCATTATTCCCTTTTTTAGTTTATCTCTTTTGTTAGGTTTTACGGATTTCATTAATACGCCTTTTCCTCTCTATGTAGATTATCTTCTTTCGTTAAGTTTTACAGAATCTCATAAAAATGCAAAGTCTACTATCACCTATATGCGAATTACAAGCAAAAAACTAACTTGCAAATTATTTGCAATTTCCTCTTTCGTAGTACCTTGAGAGATGGGTGACAGCTCGGCGAAGATCATCTTCAAGAAGAGGTTCTCGGGTGGCGAGTGTGAGCTGGTAACTGACATTATAAGTAGTGAAGAACTGTTCCACTGATGTCGTTTTCCACAGCCACTTTCCGTCAGACGCCATTCTGGTCCCTACAGAATGAGTGTTTATTATGATGAAGAGGGGAGGGGGGGATAGGGTGATATGTCGATAAGAGATGCATTACTTGTAATGTACGGACACACTTTAGTTTTTCTTCTGGATACTGACTGTAATTATTTTTGTAGTCCAAATGGTACTTTTAATAGAAAAAAAAAAAAATGATGGAAAATGACATATAATCAGACCATAATGGCTACATTGCAAAATTTACCAAGCTATTCGAAACATGCTACCGCCAACTATGCCATTCATGAAATTAAATCTTACTGTCTAACAGTATGTACATACACATACATAATTTGTAAATGCATTCACTATATGACATTACCAGGTGAAGGAGAAAAGATCTTATGCTGCACTGAAAGCAAGCTGGTAGTGTAATGTATACCCAGAGAAATAATGTCTTTAGTCCTTTCTAATGTGTAAAATTTTCATGTGCCTAACATTGTGATTCAGATTCCCTCGTCTCGTTTACGCTGGGGAACGAAGTTATCATGAACAATGTCTTCAGGGATAGTGGACACAAATGATGAGCTTTTCAGATCTAACCTTGAGGAAGAGGTGCCAGCGGTTGCAACATTTGTTCGGCTATTGTATCAGAAATCCTTCATATTTAAAGGCAAACCGAAAAGACATTGTCATATGTGCATTATTTTCATACATAATATTATCTTTTGTTCAAAGTTGAAAAAAAAAACGAATAAAAATAATATAGGGTAATTGCAGCGTGCACTGAAGCCCGGTCGGTGTCATGGAAATTTTTCTTTTGTACTTTCCAATTATATGCTTTTCTTGAGTCGTGCATTAATATAAAACGTGTCGCTTTGTCCCAGTACTCTGTCGAAATGCTGTTCTCGAGCACAAATAAATGTGGAAACCTTGTCGGGAAAATGTACAAAAATCCGGTTAAATCGTTGTAAAGACCGTGAAAATACGCCCGATATATGTCAAATTTACACACGCATGCAAAGCCATAACTTTTATTGGTTTATTTCTCTTTATCCCGTGTCTTCTTCATTTCGATTTGCGCAGGATATATTGCCATATATGGAACGTGATTCGGATTCCATCGAGGTAACTACTTCACTCTCTTTACCGTGCAAGCCTGACTTCCATCCATTGAAACTATACCACGTAAGTATTCAAAACAGTAGCACAAACAACAAAATTCACAGTAGCTTACCTTACCACGATAGGTTCGCGAGCAACACCACGAAACAGTTACAGGAGTGACACCTGACTCAGGTGAACCTCAGAAGCATATGAACCAAAACTGAATCATAGAAACAAAACAAAATCTAATAACGTCATTATTTGTCATCCTCAAATTGCATCTATAGACTTATTTTTTAATAGATAGCATAACATACATAAACAACATTTAGCAACTGCATCGTATTATAATAACTGATAAATGAGCAAAGATTACAGTGTGTGTGTGTGTGTGTGTGTGTGTGTGTGTGTGTGTGTGTGTGTGTGTGTGTGTGTGTGTGTGTGTGTGTGTGTGTGTGTGTGTGTGTACTTAAATTGTTGGAACAAATGTTTATAAACTCCAGATACGAAGGATTAAGAGCCCAAGAAATCAGCCGAAAGAAACAACCAGGAGGAACTGCTGACTTGCCATGTTTATTTTTGATAACGCGGTCCAAGGTCATCGAATATTGTAGCTAGACATCACACTCCTCCCACCTCCGGAAGAGTAAAAGTAAGGTACCGTCGCACTGAATGTCATGCAGTGATATTCTGGTCGGATCGGTGCGAATCATGCGGTTAGGCCTGCATGAAATGTGGGCCCATTCAAGTCCTTCTTGGGTCTTCCTCTTTTATTTTGAAGTCCGTGACTAACTGGGGCCTGCAAAGCTAGTGTATGTCTGTTGTCGCACCTATTATGTTCACAAGTCCGTAACATAGTAGAGGCTACGCATTTAATGTTATACAGCTTATAAAGACCTTGCTATTATTATGCGATGTTCATCACTAGAATTAGTGAAGTGATTTATTGTGCTGCTTGGTCCACCATCGAAATGCAAGTTTCTAGAGGGGAGCAGGGTGTGGTCTGAGAAACAAACGTTATCTTGCGAGAAGAGGGGATAAGTGTTCGAAGAGCAGAGGAAGAGAATGTGGTAGGCGAAGATGGAGTGGAACGTTTAGGTTGTCTGGTGCTATAGGTAATGTTTACAGAGGTAGGGTGGTTCATGGTAGAGGGAAGAGATACTGGGACATCTTGAGATGGTAGGGGAGCAGAGCGAAGGACACTTTTGGAATGGGTAAAAAGAAAATCCTCGTCGTCGTGCTTCCTGTCTGGCCTCACGTAAAGTAAGGCCTGGTTTGAATCTAAGAACTGCTATCTCACATTCGAGCTTATAGGCAGGGCAGCACTTGTGAAATAAATTATGGGAGCCACCACAACTGGTACATGTATGTGACTGAACAAAGCAATTTCAATGGTTATGACCAGGTTGGGCACATAGAGGGCAGCGGGCTGTGGCGCGACAGAATTTGGCTGGGTGGCCAAAACGGCATTTCTGACATTGACGAGGAAGGGGTCAATATGGTCGAACAAGGCAGGACACTCCACCAATATAAACTTCATGTGGGAATATTTATGATTAATGTTTGAAACAAATAAATGTGCTAGACATCAAAGGTCATATAGCACTATGGTAAAGTATTGTGTCGGAATGGGTAAAGAGTTAAAGATTAGGACAAAATGTGTTAGATGTCAAAGATTAGAGAGCATTATTGGATAGTATGGTAGTGAAAAGGGAAAAGAGGGGAGTAAGTGATCTAGAGCAGAGATTAGTAGAAATGGGATGGTTAAGGGGTAGGGCTATTGAGTGAATGACAGTTTCTATCTTTGAGGAAGATATAACAATGTTCAAGGAAAAATAGAGATGGCTGTTGGAAAAGTAGGAGAATAATCCGGGGAGAGAGGGCGTGTTAGACGTCAAAGATAGTGTTATATGAAAGTATGGTAACGAAAAGGGAAAAGTATGAAGTAAATGAAGTTGGGATTAGTAAAATGGGAAAGGTTAAGGGGGTAAAGCGATTGAATGAATTGCAGTGTATCTGTGACTAGGGAAGGAATAGGGACATTGTTCAAGGAAACCAGAGGTGGCTGTTGGAGAAGAAGAATCCAAGGGATGAGAAATTGGGGACTGGGGAAGGTGGTGAAGTATAAGGAAGAATGTCTAGAGGGGTCTGGATAAGGACACTGTCGTGAAAGAGGGGATTCCTGTGAGTATTGAAGTGGGAGCATTAGAGAGGGTGGGGTATGTTGGGAGGGTGTAGCAGGAAGGGGGTGTGGGAACTTGAGGAGTAGGAAGATGGATATCTGTAAATATTTTAAATGTAAAATGAGTAGGAACAGAGGGATTGGGAGCGGGGGGGGGGAGGTAGCAAAGTGTTCCCTTGGATCATCATTAGGAAGTATTGGATGCCTTCAAGGGTTTCTGGAGGGGAGTTGGGTGAAGATGACTGAGGAAAAGGGTTCTCTTATGAGGAGGAGAAGAGGAGATAGATATCTAAAGAGTAGAAGAGGAAGGTGTAGATGTATTAGGCGAAGATGGAGTGGAACATTTAGGTTGTCTGGTGCGACAAAAAGTGATGAGGAGGGGTAGGTATCGGGGACGTGGCAGAGATTGGAGTATCTAGATTTAGACGAATTTGACTGGGGCATAGGGAGGGTAGACGTTGGATGGCTTTGGGTATAGGGGAGATATACTGGGGGAGATGCAGAAACATCGTGTGAAAATTATGGGGAGCGAAGGACTGTTTCGGAATAAGTTGAGGTATTAAAACCTCGTCGTCGTGCTTCTTGTCTGGCCTCACGTAGAGTGAGGCCTAGTTTGAATCTGGGGACTGCTACCTCACATTCGAGCTTATAGGCAGGTTATCTCCTTCAAAATACTTTATGGGAATCTCCATAATTGGCACATGTACGTGACTGCGCAGGGCTATTTGAGTGGTCATAACATGGCAGCGGGTTGTGGAGCAACAGTGTTTGGCCGAGTGGCCAAAACGCCACCATTTATGATACTGACGAGGAAGGGGTCGATATGGTCGGACATGGTAGGACAATCCACCAATATGAACTTCATAAAGGAGTTCATGTCTACGGAAGTTAATCTTATATAGACCTTGTGTACTGCCACCGCAGCATATTCAGCAACGCATATAATTAGATCATTTTTACTCTGACCAGTCCTTGTATATAGGA